GCAGGAAGGGTTTGCCCATAATGAATGGATCACTGCAATCACTGCAGTCAGACAGCATACTGAAGCTGATACTGTTTTTAGAACTGGAGATGAAATGAAGTCTAAATTTAAAACCTGGATGACAGATTTTTTTTTGTTGTTCAGCAGACATTAATCCAACTTTCACAGTACCAGTCCACACATTTAAAAGTTAACTTAATGAAACTACTTCCCTTGTGGTGTATATTGCATTATCTACTTTTGAATATTTATCCATAGTAAACATTTTTGTAAAATCTCACCTATTTTTTAATTATAATGTGTGGGAGGTGAATTCCTTTGTCCAAAGCTGATCCCCGGTAATAGGATGTCTGACGCAGGGGCCACAGATTAAGGCTATTTGCTAATGAAACAGCAGCTCATAGTGGAGAAGAAGAGGGCTTGCAAACCTTTTCTAGTCTTCATTCCTGTCCCAAAGTGAGCATGAGGTGGTTAGTTTAGGTTTGAAAATGAAGGTTCCATAACAGTCACCGGCCCAAGAGTTCCACGGAAATACTCCACTTAGAAATTCAGATCAAGGGGGGAAAAGCTCGTCTACACTGACATCTCAATTTTAAAATCCAACCAGTAATATAATAGTAAGGTTCTGAGACCAGCCCTGCCCGCCAGTGACTGCTTTAGCTTGTCAGTGTATCCTCATCTTCTGCACACCCCCTCACTCCAGTCTATCCAGGAGTGGGTACTGGGTGGTTGGCTATATCCTGTGGCATATTTCCTCTCTGCACCACAGCAATAGGCCTGTTTTATAGTGTATGGAGGGGAGGGGGGGTGAAGTTAGCTGGAAAACATCAGCAGTGTTGTGTCGTAGTCATACCATCTACTTGAGTGTCCTTTTCATTGATTTAAAGTCTGCAAAAGCTACTGCTGACCGAAAGTCTGCATCAAAACCCATTGGATTTGAAGGGGATCTTCGTGGCCAGTCCTCTGATCTTCCAGAAAGACTCCATTCCCAGGATGTGGATTTGGGCTCCTCTCAGGGAGACTGTCTGATGGCTGGCAATGACTCTGAGGAGGCCCTCACCGCACTGATGTCCAGGAAGACCGCCATCTCGCTGTTTGAGGGGAAAGCCCTGGGCCTGGACAAAGCCATCCTTCACAGCATAGACTGCTGTTGTAAGCACGTGTCGGGAGGCAGGGAGATTGCAGTGAAGTGAACAGGTTCAAGCAGGGGTGTGGTTGTGCGTAGCGTAGCAATTCACTCAGAAGCAAGCGAGCGCCTGCCTTGTGCTTGCGTTGTCAGGTGTCGGGCATTGGTTCCTGACCTTGTTGGAGGAGACCAAAATAAGTCAAGCTGTCACACAAATGTGAAATTGCAACTGCGGCAGGGGCAACAAAATAAACTGAAGGGTACTGACTTGGTGCTTCTGATCAAGGGATTTAATAAGGGATTTTTTACTCAGTAAGGGAGGTGTGGAGGGTCGAAGTCAGGGAAGGCTTCCTTAAGGAAAAGCCACTTGGGAGAGATCTGGGCGGTGAGTGGGGGTTAGCCCATTACAGATGGGGTGGCATTCCAGGCTGAGGAAGAAGCCTGTGTGAGGGCCAGTGTGGCTAGGACACGGTGTGAGGATGAGGCGAGAGAAGTGAGAACACGCCACGGACTTTTTAGGCCCCCTTAGAGAGATTGGTCCTGATGCTGCGAGTGGCGGGGCGCAGGGGGTAACATGCTCACATTTGTATTTTGCGAAGTTCTTTTAGCTGCATTGTTGAGGATGGGTTGGAGAGAGATCCTGGAGAAGGCTCTTGAAATTGTCCAAGCAAGAGATGGTGGTGGCTTGGCCTAGGGTGGACATGGGGAAAAGCATTCAAGGGATATCACTGTCTTTTCAGCATCTGACGATACCAAAAAGAAGATGTACAGCTCCATCCTGGTGGTCGGAGGTGGTTTGATGTTTCATAAAGCTCAAGAATTTCTGCAGCACAGAATTCTCAACAAAATGCCTCCTTCATTCAGACGAATTATTGAAAATGTGGAAGTGATCACAAGGCCCAAGGTGTGTTCATGGTGCAAGTTGGACTGGATGCAAATCAAACTAGCACAGATTATTTGTCATTATACTGTTATATAGAGAGATAAAATCCTGGGGTTGTGTCTGGGGAGTTCTTGAGGGTTTGGGGCAAGTGGGAGAATTGCAGCAGGTCACAGATGTGATAGGAGCTCTGGAGTAGGGGACTGCATTCCTGGGATTTAGTTCCTGCTGTGCTGACTTTGCCTTTGTACAGGGACGGTGGGGCAAGGAGGTGGGGCAAGGAGAAGACAGACGGGTCTCATGCTGTCGGCCACACCTCCTCCATTGTTCTCTTTCCTATTAAGCATCTGCTTCTGGTCCCTGGACCAGGTGATCTTTAAAGATCTTTTAGGCTTGAACTATCTTGAAAAGAAATATACACCTAGGAATTTAGAAACAGATTGTGCCTATATTTCATGATATCTCACTGGCAATTCCTGGGAATGTTCTTATTTAATTTTAATCCTGAGGGAGGGATCGTGGGATATATTTATTCTACGCAAATGTCAAAATCAGTTATTTCCTGTTACGTATGTTCTGCATTAAGGGCTGAATGTGGAAGAGTAGTGAGTAGTAGCAGCTTCTGAAATAAAAGAGTTTTCTGGTCAGTTGAAACAGAAAGATGCCTGTAGTTCATGTGTCCTGCATGGGTGGTTAATTCAGGTTGAAAATCTGACTTATGAGGTTATTGACTCAGCAGGGTTTTTCCCATCCGCAAAGTCAAGTAAATGATTAAATGTGCATCTCGTCTGCTTGTGCTGACATATCTTGATCACTTCTCTAGGACATGGATCCTCGGCTGATTGCATGGAAAGGGGGGGCAGTGCTAGCTTGTCTAGATACGACCCAGGAACTGTGGATCTATCAGCGAGAATGGCAGCGCTTTGGTGTCCGCATGCTGCGAGAGCGAGCTGCCTTTGTGTGGTGACATGGGCAGACAAAGCCACTGTTCAAGACCCAGAACAAGCCTCTTGGTATAAAAGACTGTTACAGAATATATGTATTTTAATTTATTGACCGAGATGCTTAAGTTTCCTGGAAAATAAATGAATTTTTATTTTTATGTTGAGGACATGACATTGGTGTGAAATTATAAGCTGCTTTTATAGTCAGGACATTTGAGAATAAATGTGGTAAGCTCTCCTGCCCCTTCCTCAGGGTCTCAGGAACTTCCCAGGGATGTAAAAGTTGCTGTAGAGCCGTTCTCAAGAGGTGACACCCTTCATTTAAATTGACTTCTGAGTGTCATCAGGTTGTAAGGAGTGGATGTGTGACTCGTGGACCAGAATTATGAGATCTGTATGGTCATGGCATTTTCCTTATTGTCTAGAACAGGGAGCACACATGATGTGACTCGTGTGCTCCTGGAATTCCAAAGAGAAAAAAAGTTTTGTTTTTTTTCATTTTCTGTTGGATTACAAAAAAGATTAGGGCCCATTCGGGTCTAGATTTGCAGAGGCAAAGATTTAAGGCTGGGCTGGCTGGCTTTTGTTACCCGACATGCTCTAGGGTGGGCTTGGGAAGAGAAAACAATCATTATTTGACCAAAACAACAAAAGAAAAATTGGTTTTCTTACTAAAGCTAAATAGAAATGATTCAGGTATAATTTAGAGTCGTTAGTTTGTACTGTACAGATGAACAAGGTGACTGCTATAATTACTACTGGCTTAATCATCAAGCCCCCATTTTCCTTGACCTGAAGAACCCATTGAAAGCATTTGAAGTTCTTCGTGTTCAGTATGATCGGTTGACCTTAATCTGTGAGCAATCGGAAGCAACATCTAAACAATACAGGCAGCTGTTACCACCAGTGGTCCAAACCTTAGTGAATCCTTCTGAGCCCCTGGCCAAAGAAGAGGAGGCTTTATCAGGAGCCGGGAGCCAGTGAGCACAGCCTGGGCGCTCAGAGAGCCAGGAGGGGCGGAAGAATGCCCGATCCCTGCTAATCCCAGCTGCACTTGCTTCCACCAGCTCACTTGTCAAGAACTGCAGATGTGGGTCAGACTGGGGAAAAGAAAAGTGGGGTCAGTAAGGGGTGAAGAGTGGAATATAGGAAGAACAGGATGGGAAGACGCCTTAGGACATGGAGAAATGCTGGCACTGGAGCATATTGCATAAGTAAAGACTGTTTCCGCCCAGTAAGTTAGGAACAGAGGAGACTGTACCAGCAGAACAGAATGGTAGCTTGCTAGTGCTATTTGGGATGTGTGCCTTCGATTTGAAAATTGTATGTTGTTTGATTTTTAAATTTTTTAACAAAATAAATTTATACAACATTGATTTTGTTTCTGAGCTGTCTCAACACAATTTAGTAGTGGCTACGTAGTTCTGAAAGCATAATGTATTTCTGTTTGTAACAGTTTTTCACATCAACATATTGCTTTATAACTGCTAGATGCTGATTCAGAGGAAGTTGGTTTCTGGTTCAAGTTTTCACATAAGGGGTGTCTGTCTGCTGTTACCAGCACTTCTAAGCACCGCAGATACTAATCATGACAAATACATGAGCTTTACCACGTTAAACATTGCCTCAGCCATTCCTAAGTATCTGCTTGTGAAGCTGGACGTGGAGAGTTTTCACTCTGCTGCTTTATTTTGGTTTTTATTTTATCCGTAGGACATGTATTAGAAGGAGAGGTATTGCCCTTTACGGAAATCTACAAGTACATTTTAGCAGTCATCCATCTGACAGTGATCCACAGTGTAGGGCACACTCAGTGTTGCACTGTGTGAAAGAGATAAGCATACTTAGGGAAGCACATAGGCTAATATAAATTACCTTTTGATGACCCGTGCAGTAAGAAAAAAGATGCTTTTCAGAAAATAAAAAGGCAAAATGCCACATAACTCTTTTCTCAAGTAAACCGTTATAACTCGTTTATAAAAAGATTACTTCAAGAGGGCTAACTTCAAACAAAACATGCTTTACTTTTGTTTTTAAAAAAATTAAGTTATGTGATAACCAAGAAACCGAACTTTGACAGTGATCTCTAAGAGGTAACGGGAAAAAGACATCAGTTCTGCAAGTAATGTATCTTGGTGTTCATTAAAGTCACCTGTACAAGAGACAAATAGGACATGAGTCGAGTTCAGAGAGGGAAGGTCCTATGAAAATACCAAGTAAAACAAGTGGTTACACATACTAGGTCATCTGATCAGCAAAGATAGGTTCAGCTTGTTCTTCCCTATTTTTGTTATCTTAAAAATACTGTGTTATAGAGGGAATTTTTTTTACCTAAAAAGTTACTGAGGGAATTAGGACTTAAATTTGGCATTCGTTAATTAAACAATATTACAGTGCTAAACCTACCTACAGTGCAGGGCATGGACTCTAAGACTGGATGTTGGGCTGGAAAATGCTTTATCATTGCATTGTCAGAATGGTCATGGCTTTACATTATAACGATTCCTTATTTTTAGGTATGACATTGACTTAGCTTTATAATTATAAATTTAGTTTCCATTGTTTAGTTAATTCAACAGTAATTCGTAATATTTGTAACAGTTTTAATGGTATAGAAATTTTAATTACTGAACTAAGGCATACGTGTTCAGTTATGAGCCCTCCCTATTCCTAATGCTAAAGCAGGTGTATAATCTTCCCTACACGTAAACGGCACAATCATCACAGATGCTTCCCCCCATCCTCCATAACTGGAGGAGTAGTATACGGCTTCAAGTTCTCTCCTTCTCTTGGGTGGGCTACAGGGAGCAGCATCTGCTGTGGCAAGCTCGAAACCTTTTTCCTGCTGACACATGCTGCTCAACATGGAGAAGTTCTGTGCAGAAGGCGGTGGCATCCTTCATGAGGCGGTACATGGGGCAGACGTTGAGTGCGCTGTAATCATCTTCGGAATCAGCCTCCCTGAAATAGACCACCATATATTTGTGCAGATGGGTCTGGCTTCTCAGATCGCTGCAAAAGAGGTTAAAAGCAAGGGGGAACAGGTCTTGGGAGCTCTCACGGGGGCTGCCCTCGCTTTTGCCACAGGAACCATCGCACATGGCATTGACATCATTGGAAAGAAGAAAGATGACTTTATCCGCCGCTTTCTTCTGGGTGGTAAGCCACTGCACAGGACCCATCTCGGCTATTTTCTTTTTCTGCCACTTGTCAAGGATAACCTCACTTCTGCAATGATTTTGAAGAAATTCAGTGAAGTGGCAAACTGTGTGATGGAAACATATTTCAGATGGGTAAACCACAAGAATCTTAACGGGGGGCAGTAGCATGGCAGAAGAGAAGGAAGTCTTGATCTTTTCTGTGGGGGAGAGAAAAGCATTTGTTATCTATGAATAGCGAATGGCAGGCTTTCACTCAAACAATGCAGTAAACGCTTTATTTTGTAAGTTCTTATCACTAAATTAGTTCTCCTAACCAAGCCATATCTTTTCAAGTAAATTCATAGAAACATTCCAGGCTTAAAGTACTCTGCGTTAGGTGGGTTGTTGTAACATTATTTTTAGTGCCGTGGATAAACAGGAGCAACCTGACCTCTGCCATCATGTTTTGAATTGGGTCAACTCAGTAGGTGTTCCATCTACTACCTGAAGGTGGTAGTTTCTTTTCAGTTCCACAAGATTAAGTGGTGCCCCATTTCAGCTGGAGCTTAACTGGAATACTGTCCTGTATGTGCTATAGAACAAAACTTGCTGTAATGAATACAGGCCAAATAGCATCTTCTAAATACAAGTATTCCCATGGTCAGAGTTTCACATGCCTTTCTCAGCTGAGAGCACGAGATTACTGTTGTTCTATCAACATCACAGATGACCCAAAGGTGCATTTCTAGTTCCTTTTCTCCATGTGGAGAAGAGCAGCAGCGGTTTTTCAGTATGCTGCCCTCTAGCTGTGGATCTGTATAAATACATTCAAATCCTCAGTGTTTTAGAGTTGGGGAGGTCCTTCGAGTGTATGAATCCAAGAGGCTTGTTCTTAATACCCTCGGAAGAATTATGTTTAAAAAGTAGGAACTGGCATAGAGTACCTGTCACAGGTAGATGCACTTTGTTATTAGCTATCTTCTGCCCATTTCGTACTCGTAGATGCCTCAATGGTAAAAATAAAATGTGACAGTCACCAAATCTGGAAGTCCTAATCCCTGCTTTACCTTAGCAGGTGTGAACCAGTCATTAATTATATAAGTCTTTTGGGGAGAGCTCTAAGGCATTAAATAAATGCTATCTGACTCCTGTCTAATGCCAAAATGGGATTCCCTAGGAATCTCCTTTACAAAAAGTCCAAAATACGTATTATTCCCTCATTCAGGTTTCTTTAAAGACCTGTATGATAACTCTTACCGTGCCTCCACTTTAGATAGGTCCCAATTGCCACCACACATGTGGCCACCAGCAGCGCTGGGAGGAGGAGAGGTATCCAGCCACTCAACACGCTGCTGTCTGGAGGAAACAAAGCTTATTCACCTTCAGCAAAACAAAACCAAATTGCCTCCTATTTGGAGACTAAGATTTTCACTCTATATTTTGTTTAGATCCCTTTAAACCAAGGGTCAGTAGGTCTCTAAGGGGTCTGCAGAATGGTAGGTTTTTCTGGACTGTCCAGATCTTCCATTAGATTCTCAAAAGGGGTATGGGACACAGGAAGTTAAGAACAGTCCCCTAAAGTCACCTTGGCTTCTTACTCCATATTTACACAGGCATTTTCACTGTGGTAACCAGAGTTTATGTTCGTTTTTTTGTTCTTTGACTAATTAAGGCTATCCTGAGTGCAACTACTTAATACATAGTACACATAGATGGCATTTTAAAAGGCTGTTAGACTGCAAATGTGGGGGTGATGCCACCCCCTCATAGGAGTGTCGAGGACTGGGTAAGCTCAGGCACACAGACATGCTCAGGAACCAGAGGCACATAGAGTCACCTGGGTTGTCTTCAGTTGGTTTGGCTGAGTTTCTAAGAATAATACGTTCCAAGTTTTGACCCCACCCCTGGGCTGGTTCCAGGACATTTTATTTGTTCATCTGTAATGAAAACACTAACATCTCTAAATCCAGAGACACGTTTTCCAGAACATGCTGCCCTCAGACAACAGTGAGGCGTGTCTTTTGGTGCCAATATTCCTAATTTGTTATCCAAATGTTTCCCATGTAACCCCATCAAGTTACAGTAACAGCTAGGCCTGGGCCACTGAGGCTGATAAGAAAATCAAAATGCAGTAAAGTGCGTGCTCCCTTATACACAGTCCTTTTATGCTCTGGACTTTTCTCAGCAACTCCGTGTGGCACTTTGAACCTCCATTTTGTACTATTTTTGCCCCTTCGTGGGTATCTCCTGATTTGTAAAGGATCTCAAAGTGATTTTAGAAATAAAGCCTCGATTCTTATTCAGACAACAGGCTCCCTGGGATGGCTCTGACATCTTTCCCTGCACCACAGCTCAGCATATGCAGGTAAGGACTCTCGCTCACACTCCCCCACAAACACTCGGTCACATATTGAATGGGGGGTGGTAACAGGGCGCCCTTCATTATCCTGTGAAAATGCCTGGGCACTTACTATTATCCGGAGAGAAGGGAACACCCATTTGTGGGCAAAGCACAACAGTCCCTTTGCGTCGGATGCAGTCATTGCCACAAGTATGGAAATATGGAGTCAACTGAGGAAAAATGAGAGGTTCAGAGAGTTTCCACCATGCTTCAGAGCAAAATCTCAGTGTTATTCCCACTTCCACCAAAATTTCCCTTTTTTTTCTGGTTTCAACCCTGCCCCTCCCACTCCCACCTTGTAATAGGACATTTCCCCCCTCTTGGTCACACTAATGTAGCAAAGCCCTAAATCCCAATCAGTGACCCAAGACTGAAACCCCTAAGTCTCCTGGGGTCTGAACCTAAACTTTGTACATGTTGCTAACATGTTAGTTTCCATATGTAAAATATCTAAATGGGTTAGGTCACATCCTTATAATCAAATATTTAAAAAACAAAAAGCAAACAAGAAAAACCAAAAAAAACCAAAACCCATCAGCAGTAGAGCTCCTATTAAGTTATGCTTTATGACATAAGTCCCTGGGGACTAGGACAGTCTGGTTCCCTGGAAAAGGATGATGCAGTCATAATATGCTGACAGGTATCTGCTCCCTTGGGCTAAGCACTGCCTTTATGTTCTAGGGAATAAAACAAAAGCTCCTTATATCTTGGGTGTGGCTATGTCCTATTGGGACCCTTGATGGCTCCACCTCATAAACTCAGATTTGAAAGGGAACTAGGAGCATCTGCTAGTCCACTGGAGTAAACTGAGGCCCTGAGAAGATAGGCAACTGTCCTTCAAAGTTCCTACAGTAATCAAGAACCTAAGCCTTCACATTTTACATCCTTTGCTATTTCATTTTGCAGTTAAAACTGAGGCTTGGGGAAATAAAATGGCACTCCTGTCTCAGAATCACTCTGAGGTTCTGTGACAGAAAATGGAAATAAAAGCACTTTGGAAAGTCAACAGCCACTAATAAAAGCAAAAAGGACCATAACGATACGTTCAACTTCCTGGGACACGGGTTCCCCACTGACATCACTTACTGTGAGGCTGCCGGCAGGAACGAGCTGGAGGAGAGAACTTAACTACTCCGGCTTTGAAAGGATTCAGCGAAAGCCTTGAATGGTGGAGAAATCAGTCTCCCAGTGCCCTTCCCCTCCCGGAGCTCAACACTGCACTTTACCTGGACCACAGCACCTTCACTTTCCCCGGTCACAAGAACTATGACAGAAGTTCGGGTTACTCGATTCTGCTGCAGACAAGTGAAACAAAATCAAGAAGTATGAGCCATAAGAGTGAGCAGATCAAAGTCTGCCAGAGAAGAAACCAACCACTCCTCCCAAACTGACTTTCAATGCATTAGACTACAGGAATAAGGATTCATTTCATACTTCTGCACCCTCTACCTTTGCTCGGTTTTAGGTTCACAGGGACATTTCCAGGGATGCTCCCAGGGACTTGTTTTTTTTTCTGTTGAATTAATCAAAGTAGCCCCACCCATTTGGACAGAAGACAGTACTGCTTGTGTTCTCTCCAAAGAGAGCCTGCCTGGGGAACCCTAGAGTGTCCATGCTGTTCTTGAACAAGGTAAGGAAAGCTGGAGGTTGAGGGTGGGGTTGGTGTTAAGGAAACAAAGGAAAAGAGTACCTCAGACACAAAAGACGTCCCAATTACAATGTTACTTTGGATAAGAGCCATGTATCTGTTTCCAAGGGGACTAGTTGTAAAATTCACTTCTACCGTCTTCTCATTCTTCTTACAAGCAGTGATATTTGGATCCCACAGACTTCCTATGAGTCGAGAGAATCACATGGATGAAGTTGCAAACTCTGTCCTCATTTAAGTCTCCAACAGGCCTTGACAGAAACAAATCTAAGTTCTCAGGCACACGTCCAAGCGATACCAACTCTACTACACAGTGTACTTTTTATCTTCATTGCTCCTGGAATCTCAAAGGAGCTGCTGCCCAAGCAAGTTGAAGGACCCCAAGTCACTGCTTTGCTAAAATAGTTTCCCTGAGCTGAGGGTGGTGGGAGGCACAGGGTGGGTTCCACTACCCACTTCTGTTCTCAACATCCATTCTGAATTAAGGGCTGGGACCAGGATTTTCTCCTTTCCAGGATGGGGAGAAGGAGCCACAGGCTCGGAGGCACATGTAAGATTATAGAGCAAGTGAATCCAGGATCAGGACTACAACTAATAGAACATTCTGGGTTCCAGCAGCTTCGTCCATCAGACCATTCTGACAGCTTTACTGGGTATGAAGAAATAAGGAAATGCCTCATAGCTTAGAGGATACCCTGACAGGTCTACTCAGAGAAAAATCCAGTTGTTTCATTCATGTGACTTGCAAATAAGTACTAGGTTAATTTCCAGGAACATGATATATATATATAATAGCATGCATTATTTTCCCCATTTAGGAAACCATTTCAGGCTCTAGTCTTTAGGAGTTCAGCTCTTGGACTGACTGAAGGCCCTCAGACCTCCCCCACACCCCCAGTGTCTTCCATACGCCAGATCCTTCTCTGCGGGAGGCAAGAGGGGAGGCACAATGCTCAAGCCTGCCTTCCAACAAGGAGACCGCGTGCAGCTCAGTCTCGTGGAGTACAGGGATGTCCTGTGGGATGGGAGTGCCTAAAAGACAGGGACCAATTTCCCCAAATACTACTAGACTCTTTGGCATCCCAAGACTACTCGTATATTACCCAAAAATGTACACAAGTCTTTGTCAAGTTCTTGGAAATTGGACAGTTGGGGCTGTTTACCCTAAGGGGGCAGATTCTAGTAGTCTGGAGTGTGAGAGATGAGCCCTGAGGGACACAGGTTGAGAACACGCTTCTAGGGCGTTACTTTAGCTGACACTCCCACCTTGAATGTTTGCTAATCCAAACAAGGTTCTCAGGGTCCCTGTGGCCACAGATTGGTGGTACTGGTGTCTGAGCAGGTGGAAGGACTTACAGATTCCCCTTGGATCACAAAGGGCCTTTGACCGGCACCACCGTAAATGTAGTTTGGGCTAAAATTGTTAGCTTAACCATGGCAGGGGGTAGTTCCTGTGACTGCTGCTCACTACATAAACCTCCTAAGGGTCTGTTCTTCCCTGGACAGGCTGCCTGATTCAGTGGGCACAGCACTGGCCAGGGATCAGCCCTCACTGTCTGAGCAACGTGGATACATAGCTCCCCTGCTCTCAGCCTCAGTTTCTTCACAGAAGATGGGTGGAGCTGTGGCTGCTCAAGTTATGAGTTTCTTCTAATAACAAAAACAAATGCTGTTATTTACTTACCCGCCTCGATGCACTTTTTTTTGTATTTCATTACATGGTCTAGGCAGCCTGGAAATTTGAATGAAAGTTTTTACATTTTAAATAAGGTATCTCTGCTCCACCCCCTTGCCAACAAGTGCATACACATATGTGCTTGCCACACCTGTAACAAACTGCCAGAACATTCAAGATGTGAGGTACGAAAAGAAGTTTAAATGGGACACTAACATTTTACTGTTAAACAGATTATCTACCCATGTGATAACCAAAGTCTAACTTATATACAGCTTTTATCAAAACAGTCTCTATGATCCCCAGGAGGAGATTCAAACCATCCTTTAACAATGGGGCTTGGTAATATGTGTAAATTACTGCTCCTTCCAGGAGGTGGAGCTTAACCCACCCCCACACTTCCACCCCAGGGTGGGGTAGACTTAGTGACTTGTTCCCAAAAACTCAACTTGGGAAGGGGAAAAGATGATAGATTTACACAGGAAAGCCTGGCAGACGACACTTAACCAAATGATGCAGGTAAACATCACCAGTGATGTGTGGATGTCACCCACCCCTGACAGCATGGGATGGGGAGGGTGCTTCACCCCTGCAGTATTCTCTCCACCCAGACTGGGGGACATTCTACAAGATGCCTGGCCAGTACTCCTCACGACTGTCAAGGTCATGGAGAATGAAGAAACTGTCACAAACCTGACACAAGGGAAGAAATGCAACTGGGACAGAAAGAGGACATTAATGGAAAAGCAGGCGAAATGCAAATATAGTCTAGAGCTTCGTTAGTAGAAATGTACAAATGTGGGTTTGTTAGTTGTGACAAATGTGTCATGGAAATGTAATAGTTTAATGAAAAGTGAAACTGGATGAAAGGTACATGGAAACTCTTTGACTATTTTTGCAACTTTTCTATAAATCTAAAATGATTGCAAAATAAAAATGTTTATATATTTAAAAATGAGGTTTGGTCTCATGAAGAAAGCTGGAAACTATTGTGTGGTAAATGGCATGGCACCGAGAACACCCTGGACCACGACCTCAAAGAACAGCAATTGGAAATTGCCCCATTTGGCTTCAACGTGTTGCCTGAGACAGAGGACGGAAGTGGGACACAGAACAGGTGACCCATCGCAGATGGGAGTGGTGTGGGCACTGCTGCAGCCAGGCGCCATGCTGGACCCATCACACGTGACCTTGCCTCATCATCACCACAGGCCTGTGTGTGACATTGCAGGTGTGATACCGGAAAGCTGGCCGTATGCCGTAGAGCAGGGGAAAGAGCCCCACTTTCAACTCCGTGCTGCCCCGCCTCTCACCGACACTCAGGGGCCAGCCTACTGGTGTCCATACACCCTCGGAGATCCAGCAGCACGCTGTCAAACAACACAGCGTGGCAGGAAGCCAAGACTGGAACAAACGTTCTGCTTCCATGACAGAGTGGCTAAGGTACATTGACCAAGAAGGACCAGAGATTGAACATCAGCTTTTCTTTGTGTGTATAACCCAGGCCATGTCACTTAAGCTCTCAGTTTCTCCATCTGGAAAGCAGGGCTCTCCCAGCCTCAGGGTGGTTGGAGGCATAAGTGAGAGGATGCCTGTCAGGTGCCCAGCACAGGGCCTGACACACAGAAATGGGCTTTTTCCTACTTTACCTTTCTCTCACCCTTTCTCCCACCCTGTGAGTGAGGTGCAATTACTATTGTGTCCATATTCCAGATGAGGAAACCAAGACTTGGCAAGGCCAAATGCCATGGCCAGGCTGCCCTGGCCTCCCTGTACCAAACCACATACCCCAGTGCAAGCAGCCCAGCAAGACAGAGAATAACAGAAGAAAGAGAAAGTTTACCTGGTGAGGTGAAATTCACAGACATGGAGGGGCTGTCTTCATTCATATTTGCATTGGGGATATTATGGGCCCCAATGAAATAGAGTGTGTTCAGCTCTACAGGAAATCCAATATAGGAAAACGTCCACTGAAAGGCAAAGCAAGGAACCCCTGAATTTCTGAAGCACTGCAATGCAGAAACGTAATACCTTTGTCTTGCCCTTTTCATTTAAAATTTCACTCCTCAACCTACTGTTGAAACTTATGTCTCTAGCCAATGTCTATTTAGGGAATGGACCCCACACAATTTTTCAGTGTAACTCATGGGATCAGAGAAAAAAAAATTTAGAGCCAGGATATAATTCAAGGTCAGCTCCCATCACTTTGCTGATGGGGAAACTGAGGCCCAGAGATGCCGACTTGCCCAAGACACACAGCTAAGAAGTGGCCAAAACTGGGCTTTGAGCCCAAGTGTCATGCTCTAAGCTTGCAGCTACAGCTGCTCACCAGCCTGTGTGTGCAGCACCTCATCCATACTCCTTATACAGAGGGCCTACCTAGTTTAAACAATTAGCCAAGTTTCTCAAAGTTCTTACTTTGCCACCGGAGGGTCTGGTCTGAGTCTGGAAGGCCTCTGTGTAATTACATCTCACACAGCTGTACGACTGGAAGTTGCTTTTGCCTGTCACACAGACCTTGGTGGCCTTCAACAAGCGAATGCTGGCTACCGAGACAGATAAGAGAGCAGTTATTTGTTTAGTACCTGTTCTGTGGCCGACTTGAAGCTGGAGAGTTTACATGTCTCATCTCATTTCATATTCACAGCAGCACTAACAAGTGGACACCATTATTGTCCGCAGGTTACCGATAGGGTGAGTGAGGCTTAGGGAATTTCAGGGAGCTTTGCCTAAGCTTACAAAGCTCATCAGGGGCAGAGTATGGATTCAAATTCCAAAGCCCAAGCTCTTACCTCCTCACAGGTAAGCCTGAATTTCACAGGATACCTGCAAAGGTGACTCCAGCTCTGCACTATTCTGGGTCTCTTTGAGAGAAAAAACCCTCCAGAGTGTCATCACCAAACCGTGCCTGTTCCAACTGCACTTTTATCCATGCTGGTTCTTTTCCCTGGAATGCCCTTTCCTCCTATTCTCTGCCTCTCCAAGGCTTACTCCTTCAAGCCCAACGTATGTCTATAGCAACAGCTAACAAATACGACAGCTCACTCTCTGCTAGGTATGGGGCCAAATGCCTTCCTGCGTAACCTAACTGAAAGTGGTCTCCCCAGGGCCCCCTCCTGCTCCTCTCGCCTCCATCCCCCTCACATGGAGCACAGCTTCTTCCCGGGTTCCCTGACTGTCCCTGTGTCTGTGGCTACCGCACTTCTTTGTACCTGGCACTCCTGGATTCCTGACTGATGGAATTTAACTGAATTGAGTGGGTGGAAACCACAGACGTGGGCTTTAGGACCCCAGGATTGGTTCATGGAAAGAACTCACAAGCTGCCAGAGAGAATGCCAGGACTTTCACAATGCCATTTAGGAAGTAGAAAAGTCATCTGCCTAAGCCAGCACTTTTGCTAAAGTTGGGGGATTCCTCTCTGGCCTTACCCTTCTTCATCAATGAGGTATAACGTTACGTACAGAGAAGTACAGATGAGAAGTGTACCACCTGGGTAGTGTTCTCACTTGTGTACTCAGGTGGAGAAACACTCCCATGAATGCTCTCTTTCAGTCACTCACCCCAGGGTAACCACGATCCTGACTCCTAACTGCTTCATTTTGCCTTTTTTATTAATGGGATCACATGTACTCGTATGTACGGCTGTAGGCATGCATACAGATATGACTGTATGAACTCTTTTGAATCTGGCTTCTTACATTTGTGAGAGTCACCCATGTTGTGTGTAGTTACAGACTGTTCACACTCATTGCTGGACTGGATTCCATTTTGTGATTGCAACTCTACTGTCAGGAATTTGAGTGTTTTCTACTTTTTGACTATTATAAATAATGCTACTATGAACATTCTAGTATGTGGTTTTTGGTGCATGCTTGTATATATTCTGCTGGGTGTACGCCTAGGAGTGAAATTAATGGGTGATATAGTCTGCACATTTCTGCTTAAGTAGATACGTTAGGCCTTAACTTTGATTGATGAAAACTTACCATCTGCCCGGAGTATCCAGCTTATGTTCATTAAAATTGAATCGTCCTCCATTGCAATACTGCTTTTAACAGGTTCCACTCGAAGATCTCTCAAGTCTCCTGGGGTCAGTCTGTGTTTGACTCTCCACTCTGGAGATGGTCCTGGGAGAAGGTGAGACCGCCCATGATATACCCCTCCCTAGCCCATCTCCTGTAAGGGACCACCCTGATCCAACCCTCATTCACAATTCATCTCTTCTTCCTGCTCAGGCAGACCACACATTTCTCAGTTCTGACTGATTTATAGCTGAGGTGATGCTCACATTCCTGGCTATAGAGCACTAGGGACCACTCCAAGTGCCTGTGTATGTATGTACTTAGTGTATTTGACCTGTTTATTAGGGCCAGTCCCGCCTTTCCCATGCCTCAGCCTGGACTCCAGCCAGCTGGCCCACACAGCTCCGACTTCCTACCTCCTAATCTTTGCTATACCATCTCTGCACCAGCTCATCCCTTTTCATCCACATTTCTTGGGCAGAAGTCCACCCATTCTTCAAATGTTCTCAAAGCGGTCTCAAAAACTCCTTCTCATTTGCTTCCTATTCCTAACTGTCAGTGACCTCCCTCCCACAGCACTCCATCTCCCTCTGAGGAGTGGCAGACTTCACTTTCTTCCTTGCACAGTAATTCCCGCCCTGCCTATACCCCTCTTACTGGCCAGAAAGCCAGCGCATCTGAAAGAGCAGGAGCTCTGCGTTGGGCAGAGCGGCGTCACCTGCAGCCGCTAACTAATGCTTAACACTGTGCCTGGTCTCTGATGACCCACTGCCTGGATTCAGACGCTGTGTGAAAGTCCAACTGTGCTTTCAATTTAAAGGTAGAGCCCCAAATACCCATTCCCTTAGTGCACCTACCCATTTCAGAGCCACACCGAATCGTCTGCAAGAGAGAAAGAAACCAATTGTCATGCTGAATGCCAGCAAACCACAAGCCAAATTAATCAAAACACCATCTTTTTCCTTAAATGCATATACAAGTAATGAATGCTCAAAGAAAAGCTGAGCTGGTTACTTCGCAGTTTGGGGGAGACTAAGCTACCTCGTTGTAGGCTATGATGAACCGTAGATTGGCTATCAGTATACTAAGTCTTCAAGCCTGTGGATCGCCCCACTTAACGATCAGAAGTGGGCCTCCACCTCTCTGGGCCTCGGCTTCCCCTGCTACGAGCAGGGGATGATTGGATCACCACGAATCCCCTTCACATGCCAATGTTTAACTGTAGGTTTTCAGGGCAGTCTACAGTATTTTTTTTATTTTCCCCAGGTTAAGGTCTGGCTGTGCTAAGATGAACAGAAGAAAGCTGTGAATGCAGTTCATGGTACCTTCCCCTTTAAAATATTCATCTTCTAATACAAAAAGACTGATGTACCTGAACTACTCATGAAATCATAAAGCAACTGTAATTTCATGTTCTCCTTTTAAAAGAACTTTAAAAAAATAAATACGTATCATCAGTGTCTAAGAAAGGCCAGTACTAAATCCTTTGGAGTTAACTGCTCATGTCTTTTTATAAGAAAAAAACAGTTTTAGTACTTGGATTTTGGAATAAAATACTGGACCTAAAATATTAACATTTAGGCAGCAGCAAGTACTAGTGACAAGACTCAATGTGATAAATCCACCAGCTCTGGAAGCTGATCCCTCCCAGCCTCAACATTTCTAAACACCTTGTAAGACACAAGGCAAGACTTTTCATGGTTTGTTAATCTGGGTTTAAGTGAAATGCTCACGTTTGTCTTTTTAAAGCTGAACTCCAAGGCCTTTCATCAGATATTATTTTAGACAAATAAGCCTCCATATTGGGAGCTGCGTTCTGTTGAAGGGTTTGTGAGACGAGTTTTAGGAAGCAAAGCAGCAGCTCTGAATTTTACAGAGTTCATTGTTGGCCGGATGGCAACTACTGCAAAAGCAATTCTTCCCTTTGTGGGAAAGGCCAAGGGGGCCACGAACTGAGACAGCAGGCAAGAGTTGTAGCTGAATACATCGGGGCACACGAATGGGGTTTGTCTTTCCATAACCATCAAGAAGTAACCGCCATGCTTTTGTCATATGCTGTGCTAAACGGGAAGGGATACAATTTCAAATGCAATTTTGCGGATGCGCTTTTTTTCTTTGGCGACCCAGAAGATTCCTTCAGTCCTTCTAGGCACTGGGGAAGAAAGGAAACTTGCAGGCAAGTCCTGGAGCTTACCAGCTCTGGGGGCAAGGTGCCCCAGCACAGCAGGAATCAACATAGCAAAAAAGGAGAGTGGTCACGGAGAAGCCGTTCTTGTACTCCAAAAGGTGGACAGACCTCAAGAACCCCAAGCAGTAACAATACTGAGCACCTACTATGTGCCAGGCTCTTTGCTGCTGCCTTGCAGGCCCAGTCCCTCCCTGTTCCGTACTAGACACTGGTTAGGTATTACCCTTCCTTTTACAGATGAGGACACCGAAGCTCAGTGAGCATAAGTGACTGAAATAAGAACACATCGAGGCATTTGAGCCGGGGTCTGCCTGATTACCACGCCCCTGACTCTGGCAGCCTGAACCTCGGTTCCAGTTGGGCTACCCTAGCAGGTGCCCCCTCTAGACGGACCTTCGCGAGCCCCGTGGAGAGGCATGAGCAGGCGGGTCGGCCACCGTCAGGGGTCGGGCTCAAGGGACGGGAATTCAGGAAAGGGGAGCGGATGGGGGCTTACCGGCTCCGGGGTCACGGCACCCCAGCACAGCGCGGCCAAGCTCAGCAACACTAGCGACATCGCGGGGGCCACCGCTCCCCACTGCGCGGGGCCCCGGCGTGCCTCCCGCCGCACTCTTATCCGGACGCCCAGGGCCACCCCTCCCGGCTCCGCCTCCCACGGCGCCGCCCTGGCCCCGCCGCCCCGTCCCCGGGTGGGAAACATGGAAGAGCCCTCGCCTGCCGGGATTCGGAGGGATGGATGGGCCGGGTCTAGGAGGCTCGGGGGCCTTCGCGGGCAGAGCACGAGCAGCCGGGGCGCGCGCCGGCCCCGCACACACGTGCGTGCAGTCAGCCAGGTGCACGACTGCGTTCACGCCCTCGGGCTGCGCGCGCCCCGCCCGCCCGCCCGAGGCAGCCGGCCAGCCTGGCGCCCTGGTCCCCGCCCCGAGCCGACCGAGTCTGAGCAGCCCGTGGTTCCCCTCCCGGCCGCGGAGAGCGCGCGGTGCGCGGGCGCCGCCAGTTAAAGTGTATTGGGGCAAGGGTCCGGCTGCCGCCGACGCCGCTGCCGGTTCCTCCTGCTCCTTCCTACTCCTGCTCTGCTGCAGCCAGCTGTCCCGGCGCTCGGCTCCAGCTGCCGAGGGTGAGTATTGGGTTATGCGCCCCAACCCCAGGCCGACCCGGCCCATAGCGGCGCGCTCCGCGCCCCAACTCCCGCTCTGCAGGGTCCTGGCTGCAGCCCCGGAGCCTCGGGCGGCTTCGGGCCGGAGGTTTGTTGAGTCAAAAGGACCCAGTTTGGACGCTGAGGCTGGGGCCTCCTTTACTGGAAATAAAAGGGGCGGGATGCGGATAACCGAAGCCTAATTGAGTTCTTCTGGGAGCTAGTTGTTTGTAGGAACTAAGTTATAGGTTATGAGAGTAATAGAAACCTTTCCCTTAGGTTTTTCTGGTACATGTAGATGTCTCCCCAAATGAGGTCTAACACTAACACTTGGATCTCCGAAGGCTGGTTTTGCTCAGATCTTACTATGTGCCAGGCCCAGCCCACCTGCTGAGTTCAGCTTTGGGCCTGCAGGAAGTGGTCCAGCCTCAAGGTCAGCTGGGTGCCCTGGCATGCATGCATGTGGGGTGCTAGGTGATGTTTCCAGAAGATCGGCCTGGTTCCTGACCAAGGAGAGGGGCTCAGGTGTGGTTGTTGCCTCATGCTCGCCTGGGCTGGTCACTCTGGGCCCCTTGCTCAACCCCTCTTAGTTGCTTTGAGTCCTGTGGTTCCCGAGATCATTTCCAGTTCTAATAGTTGTCTTTCTTCTTAGCAAACACGTACAGGGTACCAGTACTGGGGTCCAAAGGTGAATGACACATGGGTGCTGGCTGATGGGCCCTCTTGGACTGAGAATGAGTACTGTGAGAGTATGTTCAAGAGCACGTGTGCCCGCCCTGCTGTAGAAGTGCAGATGGAAACAGCCTTGTCTGCCAGCTTGAGCTCATGAACTTCATCCTGTGGAGCCAAGGAACCATGAAGAGGGTTAGGTGGTCAATTTTCAGTTTTAGAAAGGCCACCTGGGTGGCTGTGCAGGGCAGTAGGAGGCCAGCTCCTCTGAGACCAGCAAGAAGGCAGCTACTAACCAAAATACTTCACTTGGTGATGTTGAATGTCTGCCACGGGTCATGCTCTGAGCTGTACTGACTTTTCAGCTGTGCGTCAAAGCAGGCCCTGCTGTGGGAGCTTGGAACTGTTACGTGTGAGGGCTTTGGGGACAACCAGGGATGCAGAGGTGAAACCTGGAGATAGGATTTGTGAGGCAGACATTTATAGGGAGTGGGGAGGGGAGAAGGATAGGGCCCTAGGGGAGGAGAGCTTTGTGGAGGTGAGGGCTAGGAGGGGCTGCACCAGGAGTGAGGGGGCAGATAGGGCAGAGGTCACAGAGAGAGAAGAGGCTGCGACCTCCTGACCCACAATGGCCCTGCCTTCCATGGCAGCACCTTGCCTGAGGGGGGACCCTGGCTTAGGTCACTGGCAATCCGGCGTGGCTTTGGCAAGAGAGAGACAAGCATGGGAGTAAATGCGTTCAGGTATGGGACTGTGGTAGGGACCGCTTTGTTTTAAGAAAGGGAGAGGCTGAGGTTCTTTCTCCAGGGGAAGAAGCTGGTGGGCAAAGGAGGGAGGAAGGGTGAGGTGAGTGAGGGTGGTGTAGGGGTCCTTGAGCATGCGTGTAGGTGTGGAAGGAGGGATGCGGAGCGTTGACTCAGGACACAGACTGAGTCCCCCTGTGCACTGCTCTGGGTCTGGGGTTGAGGTTGTGTGGGCACAGACATATGACACTGCCCTGCCCCTGACCCTGACTGCAGAGTGAGGAGTGTAGAGGAGAGCCCTGCGGCCACATCTGGTGTTCTCCGTGGGCACACAAGATGTGCCTGCCTGTCTTCTCGGGAGGTTCCACACTGGCATGGAAGCTCTTTCCAAAAAGGGTCTCTCCGTGAGAGGTCCTTGTTGATGAAGCATGCAGCCTCCAAAGTGGCCTGCTGGAAGGGACACCATATGTTTGAATGCCTAAGCCCAGTAACGTTATGGCTTTATAAACTGGAGGCAAGGCCACTGAGGGTCAGGAGGTCTCAGCCTCCTCTCTCTCCATGACCTTTGGCAAGTCACTGCCTTTCTCAGAACTTCAGTTTCCTGTTCTGTAAAATGGGCAGATGAGAGTGTATTGGCAATAGCTAATTGAGGGGACTCAAATTTGTGAGGGGAATGACCTTTGGAGATGCTCTGACCTTCCCCCTTTCAGTCATGAATTCTGCCAGTCTGGGTGTCTGAAAGAGCCAACACGCAGTGTGCCTTCATGTCCAGGTATTTAGTAGGCATTCATGAAATGCTTAAATGGACGGGGGAATGCATACCTTCCTCCAAGGCTCATGCCTAAGCCTACCCAGCCGGGAGAGCTGGTTTGGGCTTCTTCCTTTTTCTCCCCTTCCTCCTCAGGTAGGGTGAAGGTCAGGGCCTCTACTAGAACTGGAAGACGACTTTGTCCAATACCTGTGTTCCTTGACCCCAGGTCCCCTGCGACAGGCTCTGTGCCACCGCTGGGGGTGGAGACGCCAGGATTCCAGACCCCCTGGCTGAGCTACTCACCAGCTGCTAGCCTTGGGCAAGGTTCCTGGTGTCGTGGAGCCTCAGTTATCCTCATCTATAACATGGGGCTGACATCAGCCCTGTCAGGATATCTGGAAGACTCTGAAGAAATAGGAAGAAAGTTGAAAGATTTCAAGGTGCTGTGTAAATTTAGAGGAAGGAGAGGCAGGAGATATAAAAACCAAATTTATATCTCTATCATCCAAATAGGGAAACTCCTTTGGACTGAAGTACAATGACACCCTCAGTTTCTGTCACTGTTATCAGACCTTTGCTGATCCGTCCTGAGAGAGCAAGGCCATTGGGGTTGTTGACATGTCCCAGGCCCTGCCTCCACCCACACAGGTGGAATTTTCCACTTCGTTCCTTTTGCAAATATTAATCAAGGCCCCGCCTGTTAACAGTGGACTCATTGTCTCGTGAAGAGCAAGCTGTTTCTGGCACATACTGGCCGCCTCCCAGGGCCCCAGTGGCCTGCCCAAGCTGGGAGAGGGGGCCACCGGGCCCCCGGGGCTCCTCCCCGGCCCATGTTCTGCTTCAGCTGACTGAGCTTCACAGAGTCAACAGTAATGCCTGCTTCGAGCCAGGGACCCTGAAGCCACACCGAGGGCTCGCACCCACTGTTCCCAGCAGGGTCACACCACTGAAACATTTTCTCTGCTCTGGTGAGGAAGGGCTGGCCCAGGAAAGCACACAGGCACGGGCCATGGGGTTAACTCCACTTTTACTACTACTCCTGCTGAAGCCTCGTGAAGTCACAGCCCATGTGTACTTGCATTGATTTTCACATGTTGTCATACTGGGGTCTCACAGAAAGTCCAGCATGCAGAGGAGGCAGGTGCTGTTCTCTCAAAGTCCCATCTGGACATGGGGTGATGAAGTCGGCCACATAGGACTGTAGGGAGGATTACTGGAAACTTCAGTGGGTGCAGCAGGGAGCACCGTGTTGGGTGCATGTAGCAGGGTTGGTGATCTATTTTTTGATCAATGATACTTTAATCTTTTGTTTGTAATATTATTGGTCATAGTTGTACTCTCACTGTCCGCACTTTATGGAGGAGGAGATGGGATGAGTGAGACTATGCAAGGAACAGAGCGAGATGGAACCCAGGCCATGGTGTAAACTTGATAAAATCGCCGTGTGCTTTTGGCTTTGCACTTTTAAATTCTTTGAAGTGTGCTGTTGGCTCTTAGTTCCTTTTGCTTTCCTAACAAACGTACTAAATGGGTGGCTCAGTTCCCATTTTATAGATGAAGAAACTGAGGCCCAGAGTTGGTAAACCATGAGCGGTGGCAGAGTTAGGACTGCAACTTGCCCAAGGATCTTGACCACCAGCTCCTTTCACTTTCTTTTTTAAGTCATGAAACTTGAACATGGAACCCCAATATATAAAACATACACAGGTGATGTTGCATATTAGTGTGACTTTACCTTATATGTTCACATTTGTGATTTTTTTTTTCATATCATAATGAGAACAGTGACATAATTTCCATGAGCACACTGATGAAACCAGGGGCCACAGGTGCTGGTTGGTGTCTTACAGTAGCCCCAGTGCCTGATCAATTCCTGTGATAATTTGTAACTGACACAAGGAAGCAGTGGGAGTTTTTTAAGCAGCTCACCTGCAGTCATAGGACCCTCTGCAGTTAAACCCATCCAGAAGTTTGAAAAGTAAACAGTAGCGGGCATGTGTGTAAAAGCTGGCTGACTAATATCTTCCACTTGGTCAGCGGCTTATAAACAGAAGTGTGCGCTTTACCCACTAGGCTGCTCTGGGATGTGATCTGGCGGGACTGCCACACCATGGCTGGCTATGGCACCTTGACAGGCTGGGCACTCAGTACCTCCTGGGCCTTGCTGTCCTTTGGTGAAGTGTGGCCCTGATCCTGTGGTGGCGCACAAGTGAACATGGATTAAAATCAAGCAGGCTTTGCAGCGCGCAGCGGCTCTCTAGTCAGCACTGTGTTCATAGGAAGGGCTGGAATCGACTCTGCAGATGGTGGGAAGGGAGGCTTGGTCCTGGAGTCTTTGGAAGGACACTTAAATGGGTGGGTTTGGGTCTCCAGGGGCTTAATGTCCAGTCTATAACAATGCTCCTCAAATTCTCCAGTCATTTGTTTGATTTTTAAATTTCAATGTCTCATAGGCCAATTAAAAAATACAATAAAAGTTGTTATAATAAAAATGTATGTACAGAAAATTTAAGCCCATTATCTTAATATGAGACTCAACAGACATAAAGTCACTGTGTCCAACTGCCACTAAAGTTTGTAAATTCTAACTTTCGATTCTGTACTTATCTTTGACAGACAATTGAAAATAGCGTGTAGGCTGGTACTGGCCGCAGACGACTCTGAATCCTGTCACATCTGGGTATAAGGTGGGTGTTTTTTAACTGAGATTATAAAAACTGGGTAAAAGTGTACTTGAAAAAGGAAGCTGGTTTCAAGCATTTGCAGAACACCCCAAACTTCTGTGGAATTGTTTGAAATTCCTCAACCTATATCTGGCTCTCTGCCTAGGAGGTTCTCCGGCCTTGGTAGTTCCCCCTCTGCCTAGTAGTTCCCTCACTCTTTTAGTAGGGATATTTGATATTTTAAAAACAAAACAAAAAACCCTTTTTGTTATGGAAAATTTGAAACAAATACAAAATTAGCCAGAAGAAATTATTGAACTGCATATTCCCATCACCTCCTAATCTCCTAATCCCTGGGTTATTTTAAACCAAATTCCAAATATCCTTTTTTTTTTCTTTCAGTTGTTCAGTATGTGTTTCTGAAAGAGGCATTTTAAACCTTTGTCACATCTGACAAACAAGCAATGATTTCTTAGCATCCTCAAATACCCTGTCAATGTTCGAATTCCCAGGATCCAAATAAGATCCACACATTATTCTCTCATAATCTATAGATCTCCCTCCATCTCTGTCTTTTTTCTTTCTTTCTTTTTTTTTTTTTCTCTTGAATTTGTTGTTGAAGGAATGCATGGAGTTCCTCTTAGCCCGGAATCTGTTGGTGGGGTCCCTGGGCGTTTTTTCACGTGTCCCGTCCCTCTGACCTTTGAATTTCCTCTGAATTGGTGGGTGGACCAAGAAGTATGAGCAGATCCAGGTTTGCATTTTTAGCCAGGATATTTCCTAGGCATTCGCCCATTCAGACCTGTCTCGACTTGAATGAGAACTTGTTTGTTTTGTTGTCTCCAGTGTGTGAAACTACTTTGGTGAGGCCCAAGCTGACATTCTGCTGGTTCTGGGCTCCCCTTCAATCTGAGATCACCCAGCTGCTGTGTGGAGAGCAGACCGTGAGGTGGCATGGGAAAGGGTTGTGTAGCAGGGACACAGCTAGGACACCATTGGAAGGGTGCCAGCAAGAGATGATAGCGCCTGCTCCAGGCGGGTGTCCATGGGGTGGACGAAAGTCAGTGGATTCAGCAGTTCCGGCCCCACCCCTTCTAAGAGAAGTCATTGCCCCTCTTTGCGTCAGTTTCTATATCTGTCTCCTCTCCTTAAGTGAACAATGTATTTTTTTTTAAAGATTTTTATTGGGGAATTGGGAGGATGGGAACAGTGCTGGGGAATTGGGGGAAGGGGAACAGACAAGTTGCTGTCCTTTTGTTCTTCAGTCTAGTTGTGGAGGACATTGCTTCACTGGCCCAAGTTGGCACCATCATTGCGCTCTTCCCGGGTGAGGCAGATCAGTTGCCGGCTTCTGGACGGCTGCTCACTGCGACTGCTGGCCGCTCACGCTGGCTGCTGGCTACACACGGTAGCCCATGGCAACCCACTGCAGCAGGGGCTGCAGCCTACACTGTCGCCGGCTCATGGCAGCCCAGCTCCAGGTTGAGCTGTTGTTCAGCATCTTAGCTGTGGAGGGCAGTGTCACTGGCCCTCATATGTGGGATCCGAACCGGGACCCTCTGGTGTCCCAAGCCAGTTCTTAACCATCGTGCCACTTGGCCGGCCCAACAATGTATTTTTATATGCTAGTATTTTTATATGCATTTCTTGAGTGCCTGGGTCTGGGAACTGTGAGTGCCCCCCACCTCACTGCTGACTATAAGTGAACAAACATGATCGCAGATCTGTGGACAGGCCCTGCCAGGTGGAAATTTTGGTAACTTGAGGCCACTAGGCTTCTGGTGACCTCTGAGCCCCACACTGGCCTGGACCAAGGAGGACCTTCAGCACCCCTGAAGAGGGAAGAGCAACGGCTCTTTCTTGTCTTGCACCATTACTGCGTAAGAGCCAAGGCACCAGGGTGTTTTGTGCCCTCAGCCCTCCTCTGGCTTTGGCTCTAACTTACCAGCACCCACCGCCAGCAGGTGCCACCCATGTCCCCTTTCACCTGGGGTCTTCTCTGTTGCAGCAGCCTTCTCACCCAGGGACAGTGCAGCTCAGAGTGCAGGGGAATTAGTGTCTGGAGGGTCACCCCTCTTCCTCAAGGGCCAGCCCGAGACACCCCTACCCCACCCCCCAAGTCCATCAGGTGATTGATTCTGGAAGGGCCCCTGGGGCATTGAGTCCCCCACTAGCAGTGACCTTGATATTGTACCCTGTCTCCTAAACACACCTTGTGTGAGTGAGCACACCCCCCCAACCCTCAATCAGATTGAATCATAGACATGCCTGTGAGGAAAAGAAATGGAGGCAGCCAGAGACGCTGTCCCCCAGGGGTCTTGTACCCAGGCCGCCTCCTCCAGGGTGTTACGACACTAGATTTTCCTGCTTTATGCTGCTCTTGGTGAAATCACCACCATGGAGGTTTTAGAAAGTGGGACCAGCTGGGGAGTGGGGGCTGTGTACAGAGGGCAGATACCTGGAACACAGGACACCAGGTCCCATATTCAGAGGCCAGCGCCCACACATGACCAATAGGAAACCCCCTGGCCAGCTCACACAGCAAGTCAAAGGAGGGCTGAAGACGAAAGCCCAGCCTCTGGTGCAGTGTCAGTCATGGGGGCTCCCACCTTGGGGCTTTTTTGGCAGCTGGAGATGTGTCCTGACGAGCCTCTGCCCTGCCCCATGTCCCATCCTCAACTACTGTACCAGCAGCATCCGAGGACAAGTGGGCCTTGCCCAACAGCCCGGAGTGGTCCCTGAAGCAGCAAATGATTCGCTATTTCATGAGAAGAGAAGAGAATTTCTGATTCATTTGTTTATTGTGCACCCACATGCGGGAGATGAGATTCCTAGGAAGAGAAACTTGACTTTTGAAGAAAATGTCTTTTTTCTAAAATTTAAAAAAAACTGAGCTATAACATAAAGTGTAAAACTGGTAAATTTTGATCTTATATACACCCACGTGACCTGCCACTACCAGGTCAGGATCCAGAATGTTCCCTGTACTTCTCGTATGTGGTGCCTCTGCCCACCCTGGCACAGACGTGAGTTCAGCGTCTGTGCTCCAGACTGCCCAGGTGTGGGGAGCTGTAGGCCACTTGCAGGCTCCTCCCCCCATCAACCAGCATCATAGAGCGCCAGCTTTGGGCCAGGCTCAGCAGTTGGGGGTCAGGCCACAGAGCCCTCAGCTGGGGGGGCTTTGACAGCTCATGTCACTATTAGTTTGTTGAGGTCCCAGAAAGTGGTACAAAGGGAAGCCCCAGGATGGATGTGGCCAGTGGCCGAAGAAGGCTCCCCAGAGGAAATACCAGCTGAGCAGGGCCTGAGTGAAGGTGAGCAGTGACCCAGGTGGAAGGAGGTGGGGACGTGTACCTAGAAGAAGTAGCAGCACATGCAAAGCCCTGGGAGGAAGGGAAGGTGGTCTGTGTGCCTGGAACCCAGAGAGAGAGGCTCATGATGGGGCGAGAGGGGATGGGTGGGGAAGGGGCAGGCGAGGAGGGCCTCTTGGGACAAGAGGGGTCGTGGGCTGTGAGGAAGGTCATTCCACCATCTTGGGGAGGGTAGGTGGCCTAGGTTGGAGGGGGCAGTGAGGTTCCTGTGGGAGCAGGAGGCAGCTGTCCAGGGTAATTCACTGGACCTCACCACCCAGCCAGGCCTCATCTCTCTGACCAAGTCCCTTCCCACCCTGGGCCACTACAGGGCTGGGCCATTAGATTCTTGTGCCATTGGGAAGGCTTTGGCAGTTTGTAAGGATGCAGCCGAACCTTCACCACCTTCGTGGCTTCCAGGGCCCTAGTGTGGTCACATGGTGCCTGGTACCCTTTTCACATGCTGATCATGGCTTTTGGCTCCTGTGATGTGGCTTTGTTGGTCAGGCCTGTGGTGGGCTGAATCCTTGCCTCTGGCTTAAAATGAGTCAGGGGCTCCCCTTCTCAGGTTTGTTTTCTTTTCTGTGACATGGGGCCAACAGTGATGGCAATGATGATGAAGACCCCCATCCAGTATCTTTGGGGGATTAAATGTGATTACCTATGTAAAGCACTCAATACACGGTGGCTATAATTATAACTCAATTTGGTGCTGTGGCTTAAAGATCGGGCAAAGGCAGCTACAGAGCATTGTTCATTTTACCCCACAAAGCCCAGCCTAGAAGGTTGAGAACCTCATTGGAGGTCTCGCAGAGAGAGCAGGTCAAAGCCAGGACTAGAAGGCAAGGTCAAAGGCAGGTGACTTTCCCTAAATCCTCCATTTGAGAACAATCCCCAGAGACCTCCAGACAGGCAAGGATGGCTGTGGCCCCCACACTTTCTGCAGTTCTCTTGCAGGGTTATAGTCATCACTCTGGCCGGAGAGCACAAAGACAGGTGTGAAAGCCAGGTACCTCCAGGGATAGGGCCACCCTCAGGGCACCTAGGGCCTCAATGTCCAGGAGTAGCCGAGCTTTGTATTTGGGTCTGTTAAGAGGGTCCTTTTTGTGGATGGTCCAATTTTTTTTTACTGCACCATCCCCTATTGGTGGACAGTTCGGTTTTTATCATTATTTGCCATCATAAACAACTCAGGACAGACCTCTCATGCTTGTTTTTTTTTCACAGTTGTGTAGAGCTCTCTGTTGGTTAAATTCTTAGAAGTGGGATTGCTGAGACAAAGCACTGCCTCTTTTAAATCCTGATGCATCCATTACCTTCTGGAAAGGTTCACATATTCCTCAGCTGTACCCAAAGCAGAGTCACCGTTTATCATTGGTATTGCCCCGTCAGAGCTTGTCAAAGGCCAAAGCAGGTCTGTGCCTCGTTTCACATGCAGGCCTGGCTGAGACTGCTCAATCCCTCTCCAGAGTTCTGTCATCTCTTCTTGGGTGACCAACAAAAGCCAGGACTTCAGTGGCCCAAAGGATCTGATCCTAGCCTAGTACACTGCACTGGCCAAAAGCTGCAAAGGAAACACATGCACACACAGATACATGTGTGCACATGCACACACACAAGAGATACATGTGTGCACATGCTTGCGAAAAACCTTGTCCAAAGGGTTGTTTCAGA